TTTAAGTGTAGTTTGCTGTGTGCTGTTACACGTTCATACCTGTTGACGGCTAAAAAGCACGATGATGATACCTCCATATTTAAACTACCTTAAACTGAATTTCACTAATCTACACATCCAGAAGTGATAATGTGGTACTGTCAAGTCTTGGAACAGATACAGAATGGTGGTGAAATGCCCCATTCTTCCCAAAATTTAAGGATTTTCCATTTTTTTTATGTCCTTGTGGAGCTGAAATGGGGCTTTGTAAGCAAGATGGCTTTTCCCAACTTTGAAGACTTCGTTTAGAAGTCTCTAACTTCAGCTTGACAGAAACTACTATAATTAATGAGCACTTGGGCATTTCTGTGGCTTGTACTATTTCTGACTGCAACAGATTTGATTCTTAAAAGTCTTAATTTAATCTGGGTTTTTTATTGTTTAGACTCTTCTAGGCTGAACTGTACCTTGCTTGGTCTCCCCTAAAACCCAAGCAGTCTACTGGGACAAAACTGCAGTGATTGATACACCAACTATTTAAGGGCTTGGAGTTCTTTCTCCCTCTTATCTGCATGCATATTTCTTTTATTAGGAGGTCTCATCTCCAGTAACTCTGCAAATCTTTGACATTGGCACCTCAGACTGAAAAAATACCTCAGGTTTCATGCAAAAGCCCAACTTGCTTTAAATGCTGCAATCTGATCTAGACCTTTTTTTTTACCCCCATACGTATCTGAATCTAACACAGCAATGGTAAAAGCCCCTCAAGTCATCAAGATATTTTATCACATCAGGAAATAGTCTCAATTTCTTCTATTATTTCAAAGCTAATACTATCTTGGTAGTTGTTTCTTGCTGAAGCCTGCTTTAAAGTCAAATGACAGATGTGTTAGTGCTGAAAGTCAGCCTATCTACTCAGTGAGCCTCAGTAAAGAAATGTATCATGGGCAATGAGAAAAGTAACTTCTTATGCTACAGCTTAGAGGTAGCGTATCTTGCTCTGTCAGGACTAGCAACCCTGGCTAGTTTCTGCAGAGGGGACTTGAGGCAAGCCAAGTATGGTTTGGCCTGTGGAATGCCACAGCCCAAATTAACGAGTATGTTGGGAAGGTCTGCACTAGACCAGTCAGATGAGGTTAGGTAAAGATGGCACTTGCTATTCTGTAAGAGTTTCCTATAGGAGCCTAATTCAAGAACTGTTAAAAACATTGAATAGAGATGTCTATCTCTTGCAATTCAGAGTAAAACATCTGCTCTTGAAGATATTCACTACTTAACCTATTCACCTCACCTATCAAAAGTTCTTTTGGGCTACTTTAAGCAGTTTCCTTGTACATCCTGGCTCTGAATCTCATTCACAATGCATAGCTTTTCCTTGGGCACAGCAACAATTACATTTCTGAATATTGTCTTTAAGGATCCAAGATGCTCCTTGTGTCTTTCATTGGGCAGTTTTCTTCAGGTTCTTCCTGGCTGACACTGCTAGCAGACACTTTTTCAAAAGAGTAATTTTTTTCAGTGGAATGGGCATTTGGGTTTGCATCTGATCCTCTCAAGATGACAAGCAGGGCTGTCACTCAAACACACAAAAACTGCTTTTCTATCTAGTGCTAGTTAGGCAAGACAATTTGCTATCAGTGTAAAACCAGATGTTACTGTGCAGCTGTTCAAGTCCCACAGACTTACATATCCTAGAAGGAAGATGTTTATATTTTACTATGATCATGGCTCTTCTAATCACGGAATGGTTAAAGTTGGAAGGGACCTGAAAGGTCATCTAGTTCCAAACCCCTCCTGACATGGGCAGGGACACGTTCCAGGTTGCTCAAAGCCCCATCCAACCTGGCCTGGAACATACTGTGAAAGAGTTGAAAAAGTTTGAAATCCCCTCTTGTGCCATTTTTCTGATTACCCTGTAGTTTTTGGAATAGCTCAAGAATTACGTATTCACAATACAACTGGCCAGTAAACAGTTCTATTTAGTGAAAATTCTGGCAATTTTTTTAATTGAACAAAGCTGATATTTTTGTCTTGGAATGTAAGACTCTTCTTAAGATCAAGCTCATTGCATTTGAATCATTTCTAATTTTTGGTTGGGGTAGGGTAAGAGTTCTGAAAGCTTGTTTTGACAAATTCTGCATTTTTTTTCCCCATGTATTTCTGTATTCTTTTGGTTTACGTGGTAGGGCAAGTTCAGTTTTAAGCAAGTCAGCGATGTTTCAATTGCAAGCATTAAACTGGACTGCATCGCTGTTCTGCTGCAACTGTGTTCTAGCGGAACGTTACAGACTGTAGCACAGCCTAGTTCATACTTCCCAGAGATCCACTTCATGCATTGCATGCTGCTTTTTTCCTTGCATGTACATCAAGGAAGTTGTAAGTAGTATACACACAGATTCAAACTGTAATTACTTCTGTTCCAAAGGCCTGTTTTTCAGTGTAGGGATTAATGCTTCATGGGCATACATCAAATAAAATCCTCCCCAAAGTTTTGCTTCTGTGTACTTGCAGAATACCTCCACTGAAGATGGCAAAACTGGTGAATGAATTTCACTACAGTGATTAGATGTGCACATTGAGACTAGCACAAAGTTGCAGCTTATAGCTGAAGGAGTTCAGTGGAAGCAACTTGGATACCTCTGTGGTTGAATATAGTGTGATTTAAGAAGCCTAAAAGGAAACTTTAATCTCCTGCTGAGAAACAGAATAAAAAGAATGCTAGACCCTTTGAGAATAACTTTCAGTAGAGAAATTAAGATAAAATCCTGTCCCAATTTAAATAAAATTCTTTTGAGCAGAGTTCTACCCAGCACACAGATTTCCAGCTTCCTTTGACTAAAGCCTAAAAAAAGATTAAAGCTCCATGGCAACTACTATCTTAACTCCTGACAGCCTTAGTATAAATTACATCTCGGAAAAACCTAATACTGAAAGTTTTATTTAGGTCACCAGTCAGGTTAGGAAATGGTAGGCTTATAGATACCACCCTAAGTTTCATTTTGCCCCTATATGGTCTCAGTGAGGCAGAGATTTTTGTGGGAGTGGAGGAACAGTATTGGTTTATTTTTCAAATTGATTTTATGGAAAGGGGAAGGAAATGGACAGTGGTTGTACAATTGATTCAGTTGCCCACAGATGCCCCAGCATTCGTACTTACGCTATGGAAGCTATGTGCCCCTTTCAGGCTTGTGCGGAGACACTGCTTTTTTGCTGTTTGAGGTTAACAACAAACACATTATTATTTTGAGTGGTGGAAATTAATATAAATAGATACTAAGAGTCTAGGGTAAAGGGAGCCTGTGATAAACAACAAGACCCCCCAAGTGTCTGTTTGCTTGCATGAGGATTATCTGACAGTTGTATTGTGAGTTGAACACAGTGAGTTTGCTATGTTAACCAGCAGAGCTGGGATGTGGGATGCAGGGTGTTCTCGCTATTAAATGGCCTTTGGGAGAATTTTTAAGAATTTTAAAAAATGGGAAATGATTTAGGTTTCTGAGTCATTGGAATGTCTGCATTGGTGAAGAGCTCTTCATGTTAATTTCATAAAACTTGGAAATCATGAATAATAGTAGAAATCACACCAAACCAGACCATTTAACATTTTCTAAATAAAAATACATACTTTGGCTATGATTTTCAATGCAGCAATGTGTAATCTAATGATTGTATACACTGGAGCTGCAAATTCATCTATGTGATGAAGTTTTATTTAGAAGTGGAAGGTAAGAATAATTTTGAGTCTTTCCCCTCTTGCACTATTAAAATAACTGTAGTAAACTGCAAAGGTACTCCTGGATGATTTTTTGTAAAGAACACTGCAATAAAATCTGTGATTATCATACCACGACTATTCTAAACTGGACTTCAGAAGACAGACCTCCCCATTACCAAAGCACTGCCAGATCAGGTAAGTTAACAGAGCATGTGTTGAAGCCATGAGGCTTGTGTTCCTGTAAACATACTGTGCACTTTTGAAACCTGCTTGAGGATACAATACAATGATTCCCTGAAAAGTGACATTGTAAGTATTTAACTTTTTCGTAGAGAAATCCCGAATGTTTTATCACATGCTTGCGGCTGTTGCCACGGAGACGGAATTGATTTGGGGGAGGTGGGTCAGACATAAGTCTCGTATTTAATAAAATTCCTTCTGATAACACCTCTCTTGCTTGTATTTAATGACTTGTCATCTGTACTTGCTGGCATAAGGTACAACAGCAGAGAAGAAAGCACCCACAGATTTCAACGACTTGACTTTATGGAGTGCACCAGAGTAACTGAACTGCAGCTTTGGTAACTGCTGACTGTAAAAGGCTGTTCAGACTTATAAGAATGAAATGAAATGAGAAGTTCAAAACTTTTCTTATTAATTCAAATCATGCAAATTCCTCACAGGAGGAACATCCTGACTGTAAGCAGAAACAGTCCTGCACCTATTCGGTCTCTGAATAAAGGATTAAAATAATAATATGAAAACCATAATCCTGGCATTTTGTTTATTCAAAAGCTCAGTCAGGAAAAAGTTGTTACTAAATTAAGATCACATTAGTATGCTTGCCAAAACAAAAGATAATGTAACAGATAAGGCTCCTTCTTGAGCCTTATGGCCAAAGTAAATCTGCATATAAATTTATGTAAAATGTGCCCAGATTATATAGTCCTAGGTTTCCTTCTCACTAAATTAAGCACAGCTCATACATGGAATTATCTGATAAATGCAACAATTCCGTTCAACTTCCGTTCAACTCTTTATAGCTGAAGCTAAGTTCTTTAGGTTGACTGCTTTCAAACACCTTTTATTTTTCAGCTGACATAAACTCATTATTTCTAACAACTTGTGCGTTTCCTCTCTGCCCCTTTCTCCAAAGGGAGTGCAGACGTGTTCTTCAGCAGATGCTTCATGCCCTATTCAATGGCCTGAATGTAGCAAAATATGGAATCTGCACAAAGCAGGTTCTGTCTCTGTTCAAAAGCTGGCTCCGATTAATAAATAAATAAAAAAGGCCATGACCACAAAATGATGTTAAAACTGTTTATTCTTGCCTAGCATAGCAAAAATTAGGAGAGATACGGGGTACAAGCTCCTGAACTAAAGCCAGTCATGCAAGTACAGACTAATGAGATGGCACTAAGCTCATTCTTGTGTGATAATGCTTGTGTTTCTACTGAAGGCTGACTGCGTCAACTAAAAGCACTTAACTAAGACATCCTAGTTGAAGTCACCTAACCTAAGGCTCTGCACCATATAAACCTTCTGCTGGGTCAGGGATCTAACTCCATGCGAAGAAGCTGAAGCAGTAACTGTGGTATTAGTATTTTGCCATGCTTTTGGAACCATGTAGGAAAATGTAGTATTTAATGGAGTGTTATGAGTTTCATCTGAAGATGGTGCTGATATAAACAACTCCATTAAAATAGACTATATAATAGCTTTGGTGTGATTTTATTTCAGTGTATCATTCTAAGCAGATCTCTGTTTAAACCTTAAATAAAACCCATTAGAGATCACTGTGTGTGCTGTAAGACTTGGAAAGATCATGAAACAGCACTACAGAGGCTGACTGGACATACAGTAGCTCTAAATGCATAGTTTCTGTTAGATGTCTCATTACTACTGTGCAAGCCTTAAAAACACTTAAGTTTCTTCTAAGTCTTATTTTGATAAGAATGTAGACCCTGGCATCCTGTCACCTGCTGGAATCTCACTGCATACTTGGGGATGGCTGGCTGCCTTTATTACTATATTTTCCCTAGATCCTTTGATTTTTGATGCTTGGGCTTCTGAATTGTACTTTCTTCAGCCCAAAGTCTCCCTGTGTTGTGTCACTGTGATTAGATTTTTACCCTGAAGTGGAATGATTAACATCACCAATTCAGCTGTGAAAAAGGGGGGAGCACTGAGTCATATGTAAAGCCCGAGTCCCATGTAAAAAGAGCACTATTAATGAAGATGGCACACAACAAAGTCTAATTTCAAACAAATCATGCAAATCTTAGTAATGACTGCCCAACATTGCTGCTTATTTCTGGTTTAGAAGATAAGAGAACAAGAGTAGAAACCGATGTGTTTGTCATTATAAACCATTGGTTATCTGTCATTTGTCTCATTTCTTAAGGTAGCAAAAAACCTGGCAAGATGACCAACCATAGTTTTATTGTACTTAGTGAAAGGATGCAAGTGAGTGGAAAAAAAAATTATGTAAGTCATTTTGTTTGAAAAAGATAAAAGTCGTTTTAACAAACATTATAAGTCCTTGACTTAGCAGAAGTACAAAATCTATTAACTTTTTCTTTGCATTTCATGAAGTTACCTTATCAGCATTCGCCAGCTTCCTCATTTTTCCTTTCTGAGCAAGTGATTTGGTAGAGGAACTTGATGACTGGAGCGTACCATTCACATAATAACAAAAGAGGAATATATTCAGGAGTTTGCCTACTTTCCATCGTGACTCCAAACCTAGTTCTACTGGCATCATCCATAATTGTTAAGTAGTACATGTTTAGCTCATTTTCCAGTAATTTTTAAACCTAACATTTAGAGAAATAGTAATTTTAAGTATCTGTCAGTTAAACACCTCTACTATTAATTCGATATTAGTCCTAAGGAATAGCACTTTAGTGATTATTTAACATAATACAATAATCAATGACAATAAAAACCCCTTAGGATTTCAAGGAGTAGGATCAACATGTCACTAATTTTGCACCATTGCAAAAAAAAAAACCAAATCTTGAGAGATGAATAAATAGAAATGCTGTTTTAAAACACGTTAGGTAATTATATGCTATGCAGTTTTGGAAACCACACTTGAGGGTAGAGGGAGTTCAAATAAGCAACAAGAGAGAGAGGGGGTGTAGAAGACTGACTTCTAATAAAAAATAGAACAAAGCCTAGAATCAAGAGGAATGAAGTCAGTAGTCCTCAGTAATGGAAAAGTTTGCTTCTGAGAGGAAAGAGACAATCTGTCTAAGTGAAAAGGACAATAATTAATGTCCTTCAGTTGGAGCACTGATAAATAAGACACTAGGGAGAAAACAAAACAAAAAGGCACTGTTCTACCATAGTAATAGTGAAGCACTGGAATATATTACTTTGGAAAGCAAAGATCTCCAGTGACAAAGATGCTACAAGACAGGCTAGACAATCATGTCAGCATCAGTTTAGTTATAACTGATCCTGCCCTTGGGCAGGGGAAATAGATTGGCTCAGCAGTTCTTGAGTTGTGGGAAGGCACTGACGTACCACTGGAAGCCTAAACAAAGCTCCAGGAGAATTTAATCTGTCATTTTTCCTTCATTCTACCTTTTTCCAAAAATCATTTGAAGAGTTCACTCTCAGCCAGCAGGACAGGAGGGGGACCAGAGGCATCAGACCCACCCTACCTAAGGGCACATTCTGAGCATTGCCAGGGGCCAGCTGGGTGGACAGTTGTTGCTTTTTCTTGCATTCCCCTGGAGAAAGTGAGCTGAACTGTGCTGAAGGTTATGCTGCCACAGTGGCACAAAGTCAATGGGGAAGGCTGACTTTTCTTCCCAGCGAAATCCAGACACAGAACTGAGGAACACTTAAAGGCACAGGATGTGAGGAATGGTGCAGTTTCCCAGAGACATTGAGATTAGGAAGCTTCTAACGATACCTGACAATTCAGGCAGTGACTGCAGAACACCAGGGACAAGACTCTAGGTGTTGCACGGAAGTACCGCCCATTTGCTGGAGTGAAAATAGTGATGTTTGTATATATGAAGAGCTTATCCTATTACAGTAGAAAGATAGGCCCAATAATAGTAAACGTTAGTGCTGTTGAAATAAATGACCTCCTAAATGGATTTTCAGCTCTGCTTTCTACTTGCTGCATTTGTAATTAATTAATATCAAAATATTCTCCACACTCATAGAAAACCTGATAGACATTCAGGTATTTTAAGTAGCAAACGTGGACACTGTGATCTTTTTTCTGCCTATTCAAGAAACATGAAACACTGGAATAATATTTCATGGTATTTTCTTTGGTAAGTTAATTTTTGGTGGAAGGAACTGGCAAAATGAGTACATGAATTTTTACCAAGTAGAGAACATGTTCAGTAAGCAATCCTTACTGTGCTGATCATTTCCGAGTAGTTTCATGAAAATATTCACCATCCAAATTCTTGGTTATTTTTATAAATACCACATCTCGCAGTCACTTTTCAACATGAAAAGTGCATTTTAAACTCATGACAAATAATACCTACCATTCTGTTTTCCAAGTTTCAAAGTATGATAGAGTCAATTTTCTCTTCTTCAGTGTTGCTGGGAAGCACCAGATAGTGGCCAGTGAAGGTCAGGACAGCAGTGCATAGAAGGAGCATGGATGTGCTGGTTTCTAGAAGATGGAGCTGGCACAGGGCTTCAAATTGAACTGAGATGGTGTGGCTCATATGAACACACTGTAACTGAGGGAGCAGGAGAGCATCTGGCAAGTCAGGGACAAGCTCAAGAACTTTTCTGCAGATTCATATCAGCACTTTCCTTTTTTATCTCATTTATATCTCATTAAAAATATGTACCCTTTTCTCAATCTTAGCGTATCTATTTTAAGTAATTAAGTGGCATTGGTGCTGGTCAATGAACATTAAAACCAAATGGACCTCTAGCCATAAGTCCTTTCATATGGACATGTAAATGCACTTGTGATAACTTCTCCAGCTGATCTGTCTGTTGACCCAGTGGAGTGATGACTGAGAAAATCAAGGCAAATCATGTCAAATGAACACAGGGCTGAGACTATCTACAGTAAGTCAGATGGGAAACTGTTCATAGTAAAGCCAAACACAGCCCACCAGTGATACTTTATATATGCAGATGACAGTAAACAGCAAAGATTATTAATAAACTCTGCAAAGTTGTGAAAAAAACCAATCTGGTTACAGCTCAATGAAAATGTAAAATTCTTATTACAATTTCAAATTTGATCTTTAGGGAGAAAAACTAGTATTTCCAATTTGAAAATTATTCATTAGTGTAAATTAAGCAATCAAAAGGTGGATTTAATTATGATTATGACCCCAGAACACTTAACCTGTTCAAGAGCTTCCTGATATGAGATCATAATGGAAACTATGGAGTGAAAACAAGACAGATATCATAAGAAAAAGGAACACGAAGTAGGACAAAATAGCCTCTCAGGATTCTAACAGTTGTAACATGATATATCCATCAGCAAGTAGAACAGCATTTTGAGATTATATTATAATTAATACTATATTATGATATTTTGAGACCAGGCTGGATGGGGCTTTGAGCAACCTGTTCTGCTGGAAGGTGTCCCTGCCCATAGCAGGGTGGTTGGAATTAGAGGATCTTTAACATCCCTTCCAACTCAAACCATCCTATGATTCTGTGATATACATGATATATTAGGATGTTGTTTCTCACCTTTTCATCTCCACTAAGCAGGTACCGATCAATGGCATTATGTTTTTCACTAATAAGTTCCCTTTTTGTCTATTTCTTGTTTTACCTTCTTCTCCAGTCTCCTTTCCCATCTTAATTTCCTTGCACTTTTCCCATGGGGTCCAAAGTTCTGAAAAACTACCAGACATTGACATTTGTCACCTGGTACAACTTTTTGATCACATTCATTGAAGCGAAAATCCTCATCAGGAAGGAGGAACAATTTACCTGTCGCCTAACGGATGATCACTGCAGTTCTAAGGTTTCTGGAAAATCTGCTTCCTTCTCATCTTTTGTATATTGCAAGCAGGTGGTGACAGACTGCACCTTAAATAACTACTGTGAACATCTATGGCAGATTCAAAATAAATTCCTTGCATTTACTCAGAAGTCTGCCATTCCAGACTTTAAGAGGTGAATGGAAACTAGTGAGGAAAACTGTCAGATGCTTATCTTCCATTCACCCAGGGCTGCCTTGCCAGTGAACGAAACTTACAGGTTACAGATGGAAAGACAGATGCTTCAAGACAAAGATACTCTGGCTTGAAGGAAGGTTACAATGACCACATTTATTTATTCCAATAACTCATATTTCAGTGCACATCCATGGCCTGGACACTGATGTTTCATCTCCAGCTCTGCAGTGCTACCAAACTTAGTCACCTTTGCTCCATTGCTCATTCTCCTTTTGGGAGGTGTCTCCTGGTACAGGTCCCTGGTGGCCTTTCATAGAAGACAGGCTGGCAGAATAGGTTGCTCAGGAGTTTTAATTTGTATTCTGGCTCAGCCAGCCCTTTACAAACCCAGTCTCTAAATTCCCAATGACAAAAAGGTCCCTGGCAAAGCATCAGGATTTTTTGACATCACATGAACCGTATTCTGGGAGCAGCACCAAAAGATCTTATCCAAACATTTCTCACAGACCTCACAAACACCAGGGAAAACCAACTCCAACAGGCACAGGGAAGAAGGGGTTGCATCTTTCTGCTCCAGTGAGGTCTTTATTGCTGTTACAGGGTTTTATCCCCCCAAAATGTCTTCCTTTGTCTTCCTCCATTTCTGGGAAGGGGAGGCTGAGCTCACAGTTCAGGTCACACAGTGGCTTTGAAACTAGGAAGTACAGCTGACCTTCACCAGAATTAAAAGTTCCCACTCAGATATACAATATGCTGTAAAGAATTGCTTACTTACAGATTTTAACTTTATTTGGAGACACTTCCATGAGTATCTGATGGATTTACGAGAATGCCCCCTATGCTAATGACTGTTATGACTCAAGAAACTAAAAAAAAAAAGGAAAATTTTAAAAATGAATATTTTGAAATTGGGACTGAACAATCATTCTATTTAAAAGTATTTCACAGTTAGTTGCACAGAGCATGAACATATGATATGTTCTATATGGAAAACTTTGTGGAAGACGCAGTCAGTGCCAGAGACAAACTCTTACCTATTGCCAGGAAGGCCAAGCAGTACTCCTCCCTCAAGAATCCTGTACTCTTTCCTTTGGTGAGGGCTGATGTAATGACCTGTTTCTTCACATACTCCCTTTCAAAAGGTTATAAGTTAACAGAGGCTAGTAAAAATACAAAAAAAACCCCACTTGCCTGCTTTGTGGAACTGATTATCGAACCAAACATCTTGTTTAATTAGGTTTCACATAAATGTGAAAGAAATCCACAGGCATGTACACCCTCCCAAACTTACTTTCAGAATAAGTTTGCAGTTAGTACCTGAACAATGAGCGTCAGAAAATCCAGATGAGAGTCCAATCCCTTCTCTGTGCGAAGAGTCTTGCACAGCCACAACGACTCAGACTCCACTTGTGTTTTTTTCCTTTGTAGTAATAGTCAAAACCTGGTCATCGATCTTTGCAGCCAAGTTCCACATAAGAAGGTAGTTCTTTCCACCACAAAAGGCTAAACAAAGATGTTCAGGACAAATGCCTACATATTTAAAGTTAAATTGATACAGAAAGCATTTCCAGCACAGAAATAGAATATTCTCCCATTAACACATGTGTCTGTGGCTGTTCTTCCAGAACTATCTTGTGAGGCTGCTTGAATGGTCTACCTGAATTATGCTGCCCACCTTTTCGGACCACAAAGGCCAGGTACACAAACATCTGCACTGGTGATGATTTCACTTCCAGATGAAATACATGGTGCTGATCACCAGATATAAAGACTGATGTGTTCTGGCTTTCAGAGAATGTAGAAATTAGCAAAATTTACTCTATGCAACTGTCTTACCACTAGAACTGTATTCAGAAGCAATGTTTCCAGGGATCTTTTCCTGAGCTAAGCTGCACAGGATTTAAGGATTTGAGCATTTTTTAGGGTAAGCCATCGTTTGACTTTAATGCCATCAAATATACTTCTGAAGCCTGTATTATTTACAGGATGTAAAATGTATATTCAATTATAGATCTTTGATAACAGTATTCAGTTTACCGATAAAGCACTGAGAGAGCAACAGAAGCTTGAATTCAACACTGAAAATAATCGTATCTTTGGTTTCCAGAATATAGAGATTTTTAGGATTAGAGAGTACATTTCGGCAATAAGGAGCAACCATCACCTTTGGAACTTTAGTTAAATTCTCTTAGAGTTCCACAAAATTCACATGAAATTTGGTTCAGATCTTGTGTTCTCATGAGAATGAACACATTTTCTCCCCACTTAAGCCCATCTCTTTTGTCATACAATTGATTTCAGAGCACTCAGGTCACTTGGTGTTCATTTTCTTAACCACACGGCACACCGTTTTTCATTGCAATCTTGTTACAGATGTTCACATGAGACAAGAGGAAATTAAATAATGTAGCATGGCAAAGTAGAAGAGATTACTGAACTAGAATATGTAATTACGGTATTGATAGCTTGAGATTTCCATTTGCATGATCCTTTCAGAAATGAATCAATCCAAAGAAACAATTCTCTCTTGTTTAACAAAATGGCAATAGAAATGAAACCACTCACCTCCAAGATGAACTGAAGGTAACTTGGCCACATGCCTGTGGTCTTCACATTCCTGAGTATTACCTCAGTAGTTTTAATGTCTGAGTGCTGTGAGGTGATAGCCCAGATGGTTAATGAAGCAAATGCAAATACAGTCATTGCAGCAATCCTGAAGAGTGCAAGAGCAGGCAAAAGTGCTAACACTGAAAAGCTCTACTTGCATAATAGCCTGCTGCCCTCTAAGGAAGAGCAGACCTGTTCATAGCAAGAGGAAGTGTTTCTACTACACCACTACAGGCACTTTTAAAATGGCAATTGTTTTTTATATCTGTAGCACTGTCTGAAAAGAAAATGTGCTATCTCGAGAGCATTTTAGTGTCAAACTCACCTCAGTGTAAAGCAAGGTCAACACTGCTGATCCTTCTGTAAGTAATGGAGTGATACAGAATTCGCTCTTGGAGAAGCTGCCAGGTAGGAATGTAGAAGGTTTATAGGAGGCATGAGGGAACTGAAGCCTCCTGCCTTCAGATGGAACACAGCTGGGTGAAAAGGCTAGGGGTAAAAGCCTGGATTTTCAGGAGGAATTAGGCACCTGAAGTTGCTGGAAGGCTGCCAACATGATTTTCAGAAACTCCAGAAGAATTTCTGAAAGATGCTCTTGAAGACCTCACGGGCCACCCAAATGTTTTAAAAAGTGGGGCACAACTTCCTTTTCGGGTGAAGCAAAAACACAGATTCTAAACCTTCATTACCTACAGATCACAAGGAAGTAGTCATTCATTACAGCTTCTCCCTGAATAGCGGCTACAGAGTTGACACATCATCTTAACAACCACAACAGTGCTAGCCTTTGCTAGAAGTGAACACCATGGCTTCTTTTCTATTCCTGTACAAAAGAAGAGTCAATTGAAGCAGAGAAAACATATCTGTAACCTTATTCTGTCACACTACTAAATAAAACCTGAAGACTAAGTGCATGTTCAGGGCAGACTGAATTATTTCCAGGTATGTATGCACAACCCAGTCTATACTGACAGAATCAACTGGATGAGCAAGGCACAGAGCAAACCACAGATGCACTGATGCAGCCTGATTTGGACTTTTTAATACCAACAACAGTATGACTGGGGGGCAGATTAGAAGGGCAATCCTGCTGCTCTGGCAGTGACAGTTCAGGAATAAAACCCAATGAGATTGCCAAATATGCTAGTTAACTGAAAATTTTAATGCTATAAAATACTGTCATGTGCAGTATTTGCCATTCTTAATGTGGTTTGATTTTGTTTCTTTTGAAATATTTTGTCCCTGTCTCTGCATGAACTGAATCTAGATGTAACACATTATAATTTCCTGTGCTCCCCATGTCATTACTGTCTGCAAATCTAGCTTTTAAACCCTTCAGACATACCATGATAAAATACAGGACTGAATTAAGGATGTCAACACGCACTTTGGATTATTCTCTTTATAATCTCTTTCATGTATGGTCTATTGCTTCCTTCCTCTTTCATCAATTTTCTTTCTAACACTTTGTCTTAACGCCTTGCAGCTGGATTTGCCTTTGCAAACTATTTCTGTCTTTGATACAGAACATTGTCAGTGCCATTTGAAAATCAAATTAATGTGAGTGAAGACACTGGACTTCTAAACGTCATCATTCAAAGCTTGTCAAAGACACTGTATAAGTAATTATGACAATCCTTTCCTACCATTATGTGCTGTAGAAGTGGACTAGCCACTCTTAGAAAAAGAGTGTATTTTTTTTATGTCACCACAATATTTACACAGAGCAAAAACGAATAACAAAGTCCCTGCTGATACTGGCAGTAGGGCACCAACTGAGAGCGCACTCCTGCACTGCGCTAGCACAGATCCTGTTCTCAGAAATGACAGTTTGACAATCTCAGACAACACTGTGTAAAGCTGCATGCTGGACTGGCATACCCAACCAGGACAGAATGCCCTTCAACTTATGTTTGGAAGAAGTACCTGAGCAGCTGTTAGTAGAAGATATAGCAAGTTGTTGAAGGGATGAGGGAATTCATACCTACAAAATGTATCCTTAGGATTTGTATTATATAATGACTATAGATCAACTATAGAGCAATGAGGGAAGGTTGATATTCAGTTGAGTTATGAAGAGGATTTTTTTAAATCCTAAATTTTCACTGGTAGTACTTCCTACTACTCTATAAGCACACAGAGTACAATTTTTCATTGAATTTCTTGATGTAAGTGTGAAGCAACAGAAATTAATGTAAAGTAGGAAGCAGAAAGGTTGGAACTAGATGATCTTAAGGTCCTTTCCAACCCTTAACCATTCTGTGATTCCAAGCAGAGCATTGTACTCTTAAACAGCAAATTTCTATCTGCTGAAGAAATGTGTATTTCATGCAGCAAATGGCATGAGTCCATCAGATCAGAAGCCTGAAATCATAAAGTATGGGTTCAAACACAGAGATGAGTATATTTCCTGAGACTGAAGCTGGCATATATTCCTTTCCCTTTCCTAACTTCAGAATAAAGTATCAGGCAATAAAATTCTGAAGGGAAGTCAAATGTGAAAAGACAGAATATGAAAGTATCACCCACACACAAAGCAAGAGAGAAAAATAAACCCAAAAGAGAGAAGGAACTGAAACAAAAATTGAAGAGGCAACAGGAATGAAGTGCAGAGACAGAAGAAAAAAGCTGCCAGAAATAATTAGAAATGTAAAATGTTACCCAAGAAAACTGAACAAGGGTCGCTTTATAGCTAATTAACTGCATCTGAAATAAATCATAACTTAATGTATCCCCCTTTCCAAAAGAAGTTGTAAGATTTCCTCCTCTTCTATTTTCTTTAATTAAGAAAATCCTGAAGTGCAGATCCAATGTGTCACACAGCGCTGCAATTTATCCAGCAGCCACTGCTGAGGGGGTACAATTGTAAAATACGTAATTCAAGGTTTGGTTTCCAAGTCTGTGAGTCTCCTGCTAATCTTTTCTAAATTCTTACATTTCTCTCTTTATTTACTAAATTTGACAGATTAATTCCCATTGAAATGTCAGAAAATGCCTATTAAAAAGCCTGACAAGTTATGGCATTATTTAACTAAATTGACAGCAAAATAAATACAGAAATAAGTCCTGCTCTCTGAAATGCTGAAATATGGGTAATGAGCACTGAGCAAGCTAGATAGGATCCAGACATTAAAAAAAAACTATTAAAACCTTATGCTCCAGTATAAAAGGCAACTACTAACTGAAGAAGCCATGAAGTGAAGTATATTAGACAGCAATTTGATATAAACTGTCTTGTACCTTCCTTTGCAGAATGTGACAAAAATCTGTCAAGGAACAGAAACCTGAGCTGCAGCTGAGGTTATTTGATGTGACTGTTACCATTTTTGGATGACAAGACTTTGAATTTGAAAAAAAAAAAGTCCCATAGCAGGTCTAACACGCTGTTTACCCGCAGTTGGTGGTGCAGGAAGCAAATCTGGCTGTTACCTAGGGAAGCTTCAGTGTCTCTCATGGGTCATAATTCTTATGACCAATAGATTCATGGTTTTGCAGAAGTCAAAGGATACCCACAGCACTGAAAATTACAACTGACTTGAGCAAGGAGCAAGCAGCAAGCAGCTCAGAGGCAGTAAGGACCAGCTTTGTATATGATTGCTCAGCTATAACGAACTGTGTGAGCTTTCCTGCCTTTTGTAGTACAAAGAAGTCAACTCCACCTTTTCCTAAAGACTGTTTATGTTCATATGGTCAGCTACAACTTAGAAACGGTATAAGAAGCTGTTCCTTACCTCCTTTTGATACGTGGATAGACTCCACAACTCGCTAAGAGTTGTAAAGTAGGTATGCTTTTATTCAGCACTGAGGCGCATGGGGATTGCTCCTCCAAAAGCATGTGCACCCTCCTTTGCCACTCAGTTCATTTATATTACATATAATGATTACTTAAACATGAGATTGCTTCACACCTAATACATATGCAAAACCTATTCCCGTCTAGTATTATAATTATTTTTCTGGCATTCATCCCATTGGTGCACCTGTGCAGTGCCTCCTGGTGGTGATCGTTAGGGGGTCGTGAGGATGAAGCTCTGTAGTTCCTCTTCATCACCACGAGTAACCTCTTGCTTTCACGCAGACTCAATAGGCTTTCAGCTCCTACCCAAACTTCAGGTTCGGTACAAGCCGGTTTTATGTGCCTTAAAGCAGAAACTTGTCAAGTTTGCAAATTCTGTTACTCTGGCTATCTTTTGTTCCTTTTCTTTCAAAAGATACTATTTGAACAAGAATGTCTTAAATGTTAAGTTATGAATCTTACCTACTACAATTCTGCCTAGCAGCTGTAACTCTTACAATTCTGCTTCACCGTTCTAGCAACTTTGACTCCTATGGTTCTGCTGCACCAAGCACAGTGACTGCTTAAGCAAGCAGACACAATGTTAACCCTTTATTTCTCGGTATCACTTTCAGCTGTTATGTCTCAACATTTACTTATTTCTGGGTGGGTGGCTTATTCCAAGTGCAGAGGGAAATGTGAGAAGAAGCTCATTTGTCCAGAAGGACCAGCACTTATCCTGTCCTCTAAATCAAAGGAAGATTTTTATTTAAAGGTGATGAAATATAAATTGATCTTACAATTTAACAGACAGAAAGAAAACCAAGAACAAGAATAAAACCCCTCTCACCTTGACCAAATGGCTGCCATAAAAAAAAACCAACTCTGTTAATGAATTGGGATAAACTGGAATATGTCAAAATACTGTGATTTTAAAGGAAAAATAAAAATATGGAAGCTTGGAAACACGTATAATTTTAGTTCCAAAATTCTCAGTAAAAATAAACTTTAAACACTTGACACATTTCTGTGGTGAACAAAATTAAAACACGTAAAATGCATGAACACCACTTTCTATTATTTTTCAGCCAATTTATTTCTCAATAAATAAAATGTGACTTTATACACTGCAGAAATATCCTACAGCCTGTTTGTAGTCAGGAATTTTGAGATTTCCTTTTAGAGACACAGATAACCTATTCACCCTTGCTTCTACCTGGCCTAATTTTCTCAGGGATAATTAGTTTATTCTCAAAGTTAATTTTCTTTTATACAATTTTGGTGTCCTTATTCATGTTACAAGGAACAGCACACATAAAACCCAAAGAACAATGATATGTGCATCACAAGGTGCTTGCTTTGACACTCAAGTGATGATTCCCAAAACAGGTTATAACTTACCACAAGGAGATGCACTGGTTTCCTACCCAGTCCCCATCTGCTCTCAAGCTAACTTGAGGACAGATGCCCACATCCAAAGCCCTTATAGTAAGAGAGGACTTTCACCAGGGAACCCCCTGGGAATTGAAATGCCAACTCAAGTTGCACTGGGAGAGGTTTAGATTGGATATTAGGAAAAATTTCTTCACCGAAAGGGTTGCCAAAGGTTGGAACAGGCTGCCCAGGGAAGTGGTTGAGCCACCAGCCCTGGAGGTATTTAAAAGACATGTAGAAATGGCACTTTGGGACATAGTTTAGTGATGGACTTGGCAGCGGTAGGTTAATGGTTGGACTCAATGATCTTACTGGTCTTATCCAACTGGAATGGTTCTAAGATTCAATGAAGATCTGACAGTTCTTGGCTTCAGCTCCCTCTGGTGGGTAATGCACACTGCAGAGACCAGCAACTCCTGGAAAAGGTAACCACCACGAAACAAAACATAGGTTGCTGTATTTTTCTTAAAACATACAGAAATATCCCAGCTGAGTAGTGATTATAACTGAGATCAGAACTTGAAGCTGAAACTTGACACAGCCATCCTGAAAAGAGGAAGATGCAAGGAGTTGAGTATGTTGAAGGATATGACAAGCAATAGCCAAATCCATCTCATCGAGACGCAAAAGAGGAGATAAAGGGGACTGAGCAGGTTTGTGCTCAACAATGTACTTTTTGTTTTACAGACTTGTAAAACCCAGAGCACATATCCACAGACAAGAAAGATGATCTAAGATGAGGATTCAAGGGAAGAATTAAGATAAAGTGAAGCCAAAACCAGATACATCATATCTTGTGCTACACTTTTTTTCATCAGATTAATACACTGTTCTGTCTGTGAGTTCATAAAATACAAAAGCATGCCCCAAACCCCAATGCTGAAAGAGTCCACTTAGGTCTCATTTTACAGTTAAGAGAAAAACAGTTATCCTAGGCCATGCCCAATACTTTTCTTGGCTTCTTCAGATTTGCAACACACAGCTCGGTTTGTTACTAACTCAAAGGATTAATTGCAATAAATGAGCAGACACAGATTTTAATTAAATATTAATTAACAACTGCTGATAAGATTTTGATTCTTGATCCACATTGCCTTAATTCCATGCCAATCCCACAATTTCTGATGGGATTGCTGAGGAAGTTGGGTATCCAAGGAGAATTAAGAATGACATTTCAGCCTTCTACATTATTTTAACTCAGCATGCCGCTCTAATGGTTTAAAGTAACATGGACTCTCCTCTTTAGCTTTTCCTGACTACTCAGAATTAAGGTAACAGGCAAAGCAAACTGAAGATTGGTCTTCAGGAAGTCTTAGAAGATTGCAGCTTATTAATGGAGAGAGATAAGGAATGTCAGAATAAACACCTAACTGGGAAAACCAAGCTGAAAGAAGGGAACTTGGAGAAGGTGTTTAAAGGAAGAGTGAAGGCACCTGACTTGGGAGTGTAAAATTTCTACAGGTTTAGCATGCACCTTTAAAAATATAGTTACACTCAAGACAAAACATATTGTGATCTGCACTTTTTCCCTGTCTAAAGCTCTAGAATATGATGAAAAGAAGTGCCCAGCATCCCAGAGGCATGGCAGAGGTGAAGAAAGGAAAGTGATGGTAGGCATACCTGTGCATGTATGCTTTCTATGATGTTCTGATGTGCTTCATACTTACTTCCATTAACTTCCGTTTTCACAAGGTGGATGCCAAAGCATATTGAAGACCGCATGCTTGACGGGTCGCATTTGAAGTCACAAGTCTTTCTCTTGAAGCAGCAACAGTGATCTTGTGGAGAGCTCTGA